AATCAGGCACCCACCTGGAGAGCAAGGGAATACAATTGAAGTTTTGGCAATCAGGCGCCCACCGGAAGAGCAAGGGAATACAATTAAGTTTTGGCAATCAGGCGCCCACCTGGAGAGCAAGGGAATACAGTTCAAGTATTGGTATTCAGGAGCCCACCTGAAGAACGAAGGGAAGCAGCAAGTCAAGTGTTGGTAATCAGGAGCCCACCTGAAGAACGAAGAGAAGCAGTTCAAGTTTCGAGGAAAAGCAGTGCAAGTATTGGCAATCAGGAGCCTACTTGGAGAACGAAGGGAAGCAGCAAGGTTCAAAGGAGTTCAACAATCAGGAAACCACCTGAAAAACGAAGAGAAGCAGTTCAAGTTTCGAAGAAAAGCAGCACAAGTGTTGGTAATCAGGAGCCCACCTGGAGAACGAAGGGAAGTAGCAAGGTTCAAAGGAAGACAACAATCAGGAGCCCACTTGAAGAACAAAGGAATCTCACTCAGAGAGTACAAGTCAGCAGGGCAGCAGAAACAGCAAGTTCAAGATATAGATAGGATTCTTGTAATTCGTATATCATAGTTTAGTCTACCTTCATTTATTTTGTCACGGTGTAATAAGGAGTTCAGTAAGCAGAAACAACAGTAATAGCAGCAAAATCACAGCTCTTCGGTAGTACCAGCTACCAAAACTTCTTGAACTACACGCAACCTGATTCCCCTATAACCCGGGATATGTAGGCTGTCCAAAACCAAGACTCGGTTGCATGCTTTCTCTTTTCTCTTATCCTTATTTCTTCCCTTTTGAGTAAAAATATGTTCAAAAATTAGTCACATGGCTCACCTATCTTTGCTTGAAAACTCTTCATGTTTCCAAACAAAGAGGGGCAGCTGTAAGCACCTAATTTTTGATAATATTTAATTTTTTATCACTTCTTCTATGTAAATATTTTGAGTCCGGAACCAAAATATGGTTTTTTTGACTCAAACTACACAAATAGGTGGTAAAAAAACAAAATGGCCTTTTTATATATAACGCCATAATACCTGGCGCTATATACTAACAGTAACAGAACCGTTAAGGTATAGCGCCAGGTATTGTGGCGCTATACTGTTAAAGCTGACATGGCCAGGTATAGCGCCACAATACCTAGCGCTATATATACATCATTAATGTATAGCGCCACAATACCTAGCATATATATACAGCATTAATGTATAGCGCCAGGTATAGTGGCGCTATACATAAATATCCCGGCCCCACCAATAATTTGTGACTTTAATAATTCAAAAGCGTATAGTGCCAACATTTTGGGAGATATACCTATATAAAAAAAAATTCCCGGCTAGCCATTTCCTATATAAAGAGGTTAGAATTGTATAGAAATTCATTCAAAAATTTTGTTACCTCTTGTTGAAACGTTTATTGTTCTTAAATTCTCCAGCATTTTTTCATTATGTCTGAAGAGCGTAGAATAAGAGTTTCATTATATTGGGGGGGTGAGGTTGTGATGGAGAATAACTCTGTGGGCTACA